GAGACGAAGGAGCGAGGAGACGAGGAGTGGAATTCAAATATATAGATTTTAATAACATCCAGTGAACAAGGAAAACACACATAGCAAGGGTAGACATATACAATTCCGGACGAGGGAGAACAGAACGGGCTAGAACTCAAAAAAGGCAGATAACGAGGGGCAGACAGGTGAGGAGGATAACTAATAACAAGGAACACCTGGAACAAATAGAACTAAATGGGGACAGGAACAGGACGGACCAAATAAAGGCAAGGAAGGCACATGGGGAGCAAAACACACACAAAGCAAGGAACAGAGTCTGACACGTACAGTGTTACCTAAGAGAATTCCAAATAAACCTTTCAGTAAGGAACAGAGAGTAGGAACGGAAAAACTACCCATAATCCTAAGGTCAGATTCAGCAATCAGGGTGCATTTCCTAAAAAGCATCGTTAGACAACTAGGGTCATAAGTTCCATCATTACATGTTTAGTGTTTCCCAAAACATTAGTTCAAACAACTTAGGAGCATAGTTTTTTTTTTTTTTTGGTGCTTTTTGCCTTTAGCTGACAGGAAGGGAAGCGGGAGAGACAGGATCGGGAAAGGTCCATGAGCACAATGGGCTGTATGCTGACACCAACAGAAGCATAGTTTTTAATTAGCATTATGTTTGAACTTCAAGAGATAATGCTCTTGGGCACAATAAGCAAAGCTAACATGCAGTACATTCTGTATCTTTCATTCAGTTAAATATTTACTCTTCAATCTATATGCTTAAGCATGTCTTCTTTTTCTTGTGTTGTTTATTGGCAGTTGGCAAACCAGCTTATGGTGCATTATAGTGCATTGTTACCATGGAGACAAAAATTGTAGCAACAGAGCTCATGATCACCTATTGCACTGCAGTGACCTAACTGAGTTTCCCTACACTCATAAACAACTTATTTATTTGTGTTATTTTATTTCGTATAGTTTATTTTGTAATAAACATCTTTATAAATTGCTTTTACATATAATAAATTGTTTATAATTAATAGTTAGCTATTTTAGTGAAGTGGCTGATGACATCATCATTGTGAATAACATAAAGCACACAGTATTGCAGCTTTGAACTGTTTACTGAAAAATAGAAACACTTTACATTTATTTATTTAAATGCAATAGTTCAGATGTACAGTACTTTTTAAAATTTGGTTAATTTGTTAATGTTAATTTCTGCATTTACCGATACATATTTAACATGAAGAGCTATATATATACTGTATATATATATATATATATATATATACATACACACACACACACACACACATTTTAAATGAAATATTAAGCTTTGCTGTGACTCATTTGTAGTCTTTCGGCAATCGCCATTTTAAGAGAGACCTAAATACTGCACATAGTAGAAAGAATAAGCAGAAAAACATGCTTAAACAGATTATGAGAGAGAGAGAGAGAGTCTTAACATGGAATGACTGACATCACAGGAGATTGTTGTCCTTTAATTATCAACATGTAAGGAGTATTTATGAGCTCTTATAAAAAAAAAAAAAACACAATGGCGAGTGATGATAAAAAAAAACACATGGATAGTGATGATTTGAACATGGACAGTGATACTTTGATAAATACCATTATCATCAGGATGTGGCTTCATAACTACCTACTGCAGATGCTGACCACTAGAGGCCTTAAGTGATATAACACATTGACTTATTATAACTTTTAATTATAATTATAATTATTATGACTTTATTATTATTATTATTATTATTATTATTGTTGTTGTTGTTGTTCTTGTTGTTGACCAAACAGTTTCTGAGGTTATTTTTTGGTCTAATGACATTGCCATGAATAGGAATGTTAACAGCTAGTTCTTCTGATTGAACAGCGCTGCTCCAGAGGGAACATTTGTGTGAAAGGTATTACCAAAGCACCATGAGAATATGACCGAAGCGGTTACCAAGCCTGAGCCCACCTCTGTGTCTGAAGGAGTTTTCTCTGGAGCGGACCAGCGGGGAGCTCAGGCCCTTGTCGCTGAGGTGCGGGGACGAGGGGTCTTTGTCACTGGAGACGTCTGGAAGCGGCTCTCTGTCCGTGATGCAGGGTGTGATGCTCTGCTGTCTCTTCAGGGCGAGTGGTGAAGTCACACCCTGAGCAAAAAGAGGACGCCATTGAAACGTGCAAACATACTGCACACCGAGTGCTCACGGCTTCCTATTCCAAAGATTAAAGAGGGAAAAGTGTTTGGTTTGGCCCTCATGAGAGATTACAACACTTATCATTGATATAGGATCTGGCAAAGGCACTGCCACATGACATATTACGTAAGATTCATTGAGAATAATCCTGCTCTTTGGCCCCGTATAAAAGCCATTTGAACTGCATTCATGGGGAGTGCATACAGTGTTGTTTTCCCTGTAAAAAGCTATACTTAATTAACCAAGAGTGCAAATTTGTCAGAGCCAAGAATCAACAGCAATAATAATAATAATAAAAATAATA